ACTCAGCTAAATGATGGTTAAAGGCCCAATTCACTTGCCCCGGGCAAGTGTGAATTGGAGGTGTGGCTATTCTAATGCATGGTGTTAATCACTTGCATAGCCTATGACGCATCCTGTTTCAGCGGTCCAACATCACGTGACTTTGATTGACAGTAGTAATTATTCAAGATTAGTCGCGCATCCCTTTCCCCGGTTCATGTTTTTTACTGTTATTCGCCAAAATCTCAGCTCGTACACAATTTATTGTCATAAATATTACACACAGTCACTGCTGTGATATTCATAGACACATGCATCCACTTTGGCACGACATAATCGACGTGTAAGTTCGAGAAAACACGTTTTTACCGGAGCTTGGCTGGAGCTGTTTACTACAGCGTGACAAGCAAGGAAATAATCCTTATTGTTTAGGAGCGTATTTATAGTATACCTGGGCCTTTAATTCAAAGTGCGTATACTTCAGATAAGAAAGTTTATCTAATGACAATCAACACAATCAACTTTCATACACTGTCAGACCTGTTTTCTTATCTAAATTGGGTAGTTCTATTTTTTATTTGGAGCCAACAGTTTTGATAAATGCGACACATTTCAACTTCTGGTAAATTACTAGCTGGAATTGTATACCACTACTACAATAAAGGTAACTGTAAAGGCATTTATTTTTACTGACATTAAATTTCAATATATTAATGCCTTTTCACTGGGTTTTAAATTTACGAACATGACATGGAAACTATGAATTTTATTGTTATTCTTCAAGTTCATGTGGATTTAATTTTGCAAATTTCACTTAACAAAAATTTCACTTATAGTGATATAACATTATATAATACACTTACCTGATGAGGGGAAGTTTACCTGGCTTTGTTGACCTGGTGCCAGAGACATTACTGAGGCAATTACTGGTGTGGAACTGTTAGTCATAGCTAAAAACAAAAAAAAACAATTAGTTGTAAATGTATCAGTTATATTCTGCAATAGCTTATGCACTCACCATAAATTATAACATTAATAGTTTGCTTCATACAGTCAACAAACTCGCCATCCCCAGTAGGCGACTCGCCCTCCCAAGTAGGCGACCCGCCCTCCCAAGTAGGCGACTCACCCTCCCCAGTAGGCGACTCACCCTCCCAAGTAGACCCTCCCAAGTAGGCAACGCTCCCTCCCAAGTAGGCAATGCTCCCTCCCAAGTAGGCAACTCTCCCTTCCAAGTA